AGGAAGTTATTGTCCGGTATGGAGGCAGACCACCATTAATTTCCCCATTGACTTCAATGTTAATTCTGGCCTCTTTGCCCAGCTCCAACTTTTCCCCAAATTTTCGTTGGGCTGAATGCTTTTCACTACAGAGGAACAAATGGTCATGTCTTTGCACTAAAATTTGTATGAGGTTGACCACCAAAATTTTGAGATACACAAACTTGAAGAAGCATACTAAAAACATGTAACTAGTTGCCGTACATATCGCCGTAGCTAACCTGATAACCCTCTTATCCTTCCGCCTCAAAATCATGAATATTTACCAAAACCTGGCAGAAAATGTTAATTCAAACCCTCTTCGTCCATTCTAAACCAAAAAATCAACACAAATGGGCATGCAAAAGGGGAGAAAAGAGAGAGAGAGAGAATTGCTATAAATAGACGAACTACAATTCGTTGGTACCGAGATGATGAAATTTAATGGTGGTCTGCCTCCGTATACGCGAATATCGAAAGGAACCGAGATCTTTGGGTTATAAACTTACATTTCAAGTCTCAACAAAATCGGATCAAAATTGTGACCTCTACAGTGTTCACAAGCCAAAAATGTGATTTTTCGTACAATCAGGGGCCATAATCCATGAAGTTACGGTCCGATAGATGCCAATATCGAAAGGAACCGAGATCCTAGGGTGATAAACCTATATTTCAAGTTTCATTGAAATCGGATAAAAATTGTGACCTGTAGGCGTATAAAAAGAAAGCGGTTTAACACATATAAACATAGATAAATACTGTCATTGACTGTTTCGTTTCAAATGGACACCTTTTAATTTAGATAATGCCACATTTTAATTGTAATGGACGTCTGTACTATAAGCCACACCGTCTATTCACTTCTACGCCAGAGTCAAACGGGAGACACGATGGATCAGTGAATAACGCGCTGGCTCACGAAACAGAGAGATCCGACATTCCGGAGTGCGTGTATGTCTGTATGCATCAGGGAAGCCACGGCGGATCAGTGGATAAGTTGCTGATGTACTAACCAGAAGATTCTGCTTTTGGTGCGGATGTTGGTCAACAAAGTTCAGATTAATCCGATTAGCGTGGGACAGTTAGGAGATAAACACTCCCTGTTTCGTATTTAGAGGGGGTCTATTGTCCATTTAACCATGCTTGAATCATTAGAACACAAGAAAAGTCGTTATTTAGCCACGTGCTAGCGTTCAATTTTTCAAAATATTCTCAATAGATTTAAGCCGTCCACGCTGCTTTCCTGCAAATTTGAAATGCTTGAGTCTCGATCGTCTCTGGTAAATGAATTATAAAAGAAAATTTTATTCGGATATCGCCAAAAAATTTTGAACGTTTGGAGTTTTAAAAAAACCCACATGAAATTAGTCTTATTACGATGTTTTGAGCTTAGAGTGTCAGCCTTGATTGAAATAGTTCCGACCTGTTAACCGAAACTAAAGAGGAGTAACTCTTGGCAACAAAGATGGAATCAGGCTAGCAATTATTTGGCAATGCCTTCAATTTTAAATGGCTGTAACACCACAGACTGTAACTTTTTGCTCAACATTCCGTTGCTTCCAATCTTATAGGCACAATGGGGACCACATTTGGCAATCTCCTCATCCTAATTTTGTAAGGCGTTGACCGTTTAGATTTTTTGCTACGGGGATTTGATGTTGACTGGGGTCAAAATTTCACTTCCGACATAATGATTGGTCTGCAGAAAGACAATTTACATCCATTTTTTTTCTTTTCGAACATAAATGCATTCTGTAAAAAGATGAGATAAATTCAATATATATCGAACATGAAAATACTTTAAAACAGTAATCATCATGCAATATTACACTTTCATTGAAAACCACACTGTTTTTTTACTGTTAACATAGTTTAAAACATGCAATGCCTGTGAATTTTAAAATCTCCTACATAGCTGTATTTTCATAGGAGAGTTAAGTTGAAATGAACTTATTGTGTAACACTACAACAGGTCATTTCATCCCCACCCCACCAGTATGGAATCTGATACATGGCTGATCAATCATAGGTCTCCCTGTTCACTCTGGCCTGTCAAATGATTTACAAAGGCGATGGTACCTAGTACAACTTTCCTGACCAAGAGATATGCACAACCGTCAACACACAACATTTATGTTATCTTCCAATATGAGAGGCCATAATAAACACAAGGGTGTCCTTTTCAATCTCGGAAATGAAGTCAACACCAAAAAAGCAAAGTTTACAGAGATCCTCGGCTGGAACCCAAACCGATTACGATTTGCCCTCCACTTTCACAGGCGTCAGAGATCAGGGATGAAATTGATAAACATCATCGTTCTACTAAAGCCAGTCCGGGAAGTCATCAGGTTTTGAGATGTAGACCTGAAATGTTAAAATTAGATGAGAATGAGAATTCTGGGCAGAATACTATCCAGGAAAACGGACCATAGACATCCAGAAAATGGTCGAAATATCGAATTCTGCCATTCAGTTATATATGCCAAGGGGACAAGAAAGGCCTGTGCAGTACCAAATGTCCAGAGCAGAAGTCGGGATCAGGTTGGATATACTTCGTAAAGTGTACGAAATGCACATTTTTTTATTACTTGTGTTGAGGTCAATCATTCCACTCTATGGAACATTATCCTGGCACCTGAAATGGTCGAAAGACGGGAATAAATATGCAATAAAAAGGTGAGAAAATAAGAAAATGTTAACATTTCATTGTATGATGTCAAAACATGGTTAGGTCTAAATATTTACTAGTCTTAGTCCTATGTGACTTCACTTCCGGAGTTCCATAAGTTTTCAGACTTTATTATTTTATTTGCAGACTGTTATCACAGTTTTGTAGCTAGTTCTTGTTCAGACTGCCTTTCATGCTTGCATCCTCGTATACACCCTATAAGACTGTGTTGCCTAGGATTTTGGCGGTTGCTATGTAAACTGTTCCGACGTGTTTATTAGGCCTACCTCAGCTACTATTTTCGACTCCTTCATTATATTTTTAAGCGATTTCTTGTGACTAATGACTTAGTATTAGGCAGATCATGCTAGCAAGAATTTGATCAAAGCGTGAATTAAAAATTCCACCTGAATAACCAGGTTTTGTACAAGCTATTTAACAAGTAGTGTCCCTGAATCTAATTTACAGTTATCTCCGTTGTAATGGTTTATTCTATTAACTGTATATTATGTATTACATTACAACGTAAAAATATTATCAGATGTCGGAGGATGTATAACGAAAGATACATTTTAACATACATATATAATAGGGCAATTCACCAGTCAGGATTGGGAGAAGTAATCTACACAACAATTCCGCTTATTATTAAATAAATTCATGTAATTTACAAAGCTGCAATTGATACAAGTTGTGTTACTTGGGTCCCCTGGGTATATATTGAGAAAGCAATGGATGGTTGTTCACAATATACAGATTCTGCGTATATCTATATGATTCGGATAATAGACTGGGCAAAGAGATATTCAAGGGCTAATGAAGACGGGGAATTCACTACGACCTACGTTTAATTCGAATTACAGATGGCGGGGATTCTTTTACGAACACGCCAATATGTAAACCGGACCGCGGTTTTCCGTCCAATCCTAATGACTATACACTGTCCCTTGCCAGCCTGCATATTGGGTTCGGTTTTCAATTTTCATATTAAAAGACACGATGAGCTGGTCACAATCCTGCTTAGGTTCATCTATGATAATAATAATAATCGTTTTCTATAGCGCTGAACATTCAGTCAGTCTGACTGCTCTGTGGCGCTTTACAATGTAGATATGATTATAAAAAAACATACATGTATATACAAATAAACAAAGGAATAGTCAAGTTACATTACATGTATACAAATGGAAAGTGAAGCATTTAAATTATAGTTCAAAAGTTTGGGTAAAAAACAGAGTTTTTAGACGTCGTTTAAATATAGCTAAGTTTGGACTATTTTGGACTTCCAGTGGCAATTGGTTCCATTATTTTGGTGCTGCGTACGCAATAGCTCTCTCACCAAATTTTGACTTCTGTATCATGAGTAGTATTGAAACAAACCCATATTTCTGGCAAACATTTTCAGTCATATTGATATAATATCGTGCCAGTCATATTGATATAATATATTTGCATACTTAGTGGATTTGGTACTATATAAATAGCAACATTTACAGTATTTTTTTTTTTTTTTTTTTGGGGGGGGGGCTAGTGGGCTAGCGCTCTAGCTGACCGGTCACCTCTGGGATGTGGTCGTGGTTTCGATCACTAGTATGAGCGTATGCAGTTTGAAGGTAGGGCTTCCTTCTCAACCAACCTCCGATTTCCACACACTGGAAAGAATCCTGCACGTGCGCTAAGACAATAAAATAAGACAATTTGTGTGCGATGTCACCCTCAGTGGAAGCGAATGTTAAACACTAACAGAAGAAGAAGAGAAGTGATTTTTTTTTAATTGCAACGATATCCTAAACATAATTAAGCTCGTCTCTTACATGAAAAGAAGGCCTGGTAAGGGACAACGCGTAGTCGTTAGGATGTGACGAAAAACGGGATTCCGTGTACACGTTGATGTGAATGTTAAGGAACCCTTGATGGTTGGATATCGATATAAAAGTATTTCGATGTTCGGCCAAAATTTTCCTTAAAGCACAACCGTTTTTATTAGCCCAGTCGGGAGCAGAACTGTAGGACGTTAAATACCAATTCATTTCCAATTAATAAACTATTGAAATGTCACAATAATAGCAATAACAAAACCCTTGAAATATTATTGACATATTTCATGTTTAATACTTACATAGATTTTTCATTGATTTAAAAATGATAATAAAGCATATAGAATTTACATTAACAATTTGTTGGATTAACATGTTTAACAAGTAAAGCCTTTAATGAGTTTTGATGGACCAATAATCACTGCCGGGGTCGCATCTAGGAAAATCCATCGCGTGAAAAGCATTGATCGCTAACTAGTGGTTAATGCGCATGTCATCCTTTCTGTTTGCCGTCTGCTCTTACTGGTATAGTCTATGGCTGTTTGGGTTTGTCCACAGTATAGAGCCACGGCAAAGTGTAAATCATGCGTGCCTCTGTCTCCCTAACGTGTGTTTTCTTTTTTCTTTGACAAAAATATGTGAATTACTACGAAAGTATGGTGTTAACTTTTTTGCTCGCGTCTCTGCGATCCATCACACTTTTTCTCGTTTGGGCGACTGTGTTTAGTGTCCAATGTGCCGAGGATAAAATTGTCACTAATGGTGATGTAATATTTGGGGGGCTGTTTCCAATGCATGAAAAGGGTCAAAATGGTTTGGATTGTGGTCGTATCAAAAAGGAAAAGGGTATTCAACGTATGGAAGCTATGTTGTTCGCTGTTGACAAAATAAACAAGGACGTGTCACTGTTCCCGGGTTTACGGGTCGGAGTTCATATTCTCGACACGTGCAGTCATGATACCTATGCTCTAGAACAAAGCATGGACTTCATCAAAGCACAATTAAATATGATAGGTCATGAGGATTATCAATGCAATAACGGCGAAATGCCAGTTTCAAGAAAATTACGTCCCGTGGCTGGAGTGATTGGGGCAGCCTCAAGCCCGGTGTCAATTATGGTCGCAAATGTCTTAAGGTTATTTAAGGTAAGTAAATTTTAATTAAATATTCATTTATGTTACAACAGGCATTTTTGTGACAATACTGTAACCATGGCAGCACCTCTTATATTTTGAACCATGGTATAAACTTTATTCTATAAGTTGAAAAAATAATTATATACTAATTAAATAATTTTATAATGCAACGATCTACGAAAAATAGCATGATAAAGTTATCCCGCTATATAAAAAAGTTATAAAAAAAACTTTAGATATTAACCCATTTGTGTTATCAATAGACACAGATTTACAGATAAACGCAAAGAAAAATGAACCGATGAATAATATTGATGAAATAAAAGAAAGAAAAATTGCAGCGATACAAGGATGCTTGTCAGCTCTTCATCAAATGACAACATGTAGATTTCTATGAATAATGACACAAGCTATTAGTAATGACATGATGATAATTCTATTGCTTTGTCATGGTTACCTTGTTAGAAAACCCATGCTACGTGTTCTTTATACATTGACTTTCGTGTAAAATCTGCGTAGAATTACTTGATCTTGTCATTATCAGTATGCATACAGATCGCCAAGTTATATGCATTAAACACTTAGAAAATGTAGAATATGTCATTCAATGAAAGAAAAAGACAATGTAAAACTTACAGAGGCATTATTTAAAACAAAAATTAGAAAAAATTGAAATTAGTAAGGTATTATTATATGCGATGGTCTTCTCGAGGTAGTTTTAAATTCTGCATATAAACTAATCGTTGAAAGAGTATAGTAAAAACAATCGAAATTACTTTTAGCAAAATGGCAAAGAACCCCAAAGTGTTAATTTCCATTTAATTCTGAATCAGATGGAATCAGATTTACAGGTGTAAGTTATATATAAAATCTACAAGTTGGAGGCATAGCAACGATAAGTTTATACAACAGCATCATAACCGAAGTTCCGTCACCGCCAGGGTGATAGTTTTCAAGATCTTATGTCATTGATCTTCCGATTGCAAAATATATGTATATGTATATATAAATGTCTGATGCCCCCCCCCCCCCTAATGGGTGAAGGCGGTAGCTAAATGGAATTAGTATTATCTTTCTATATATATTATAAATATCTGTAATTTTTTTTATTAGTACAGTGTATTTGATAGATTGTGACACTGGCGATTTCATGTACTCTTGATCATGAAACTTTCTGCCTCAAAATAAACTTCGGGGACGAATGATCTAAATTTTTGGGGAGGTGTCACAATTACTAATATAACGAAACAGATAGGTTTGCTTAAAAAGGGCAAGAAGCAACCGAGGCAATGGCCCTGCTCTTCAGGGCCGGTTTTTCTTTTCTTTGTTTTCCTTCCCTCCTCCCCCTAGCATTCAATCATGCTGCTTTCAGAAATGAAATACTCCAATCCTTCTGTCATGCTGACTACCCAATTAAAATTGACTGGAGAGATTTAATAATTACCTTTAATGATTTAGGTGACATTAAATATAGATGAATATTATCATCTTGGTTTCAATTGAACTCTGAGATTATGCTCGCACGATTCGTTCTTAGCTGCAGCTGACTAGTCAACCAGACGTAAGTTTGATCATAAAGATATCATTCCGTTGTTCTGGATATATCGCGTTTTCTACCTAAACTTAATATTGTTAAACATTAATTTAAATATTTAATACTCGACATCTATTAGTCATTTCTCACGTGTCTGGGGTTAATAGAAACGGATTGCATTAATACTAATATAAGTCATGTCATTATGTTAAAATATTCATAGCTATAGTCTTTGTTTCAGACATGTAACACATCATCATATAAGCCTATTACGGAATTTAATGCTTTAGGTTTCTATTATTTGTGACTGGGTGCGGGAGTATTGAGAGGGGGTACATATTTATATAACGAATTCCGTTTAAAAATGGTGTTTAACGTCCTCTCTAAAGAAACGAGGTAGTTCCTAGCCCGCCGTGGTATATTGAATAATTCAATAATTAACTTTGCGCTTGGGGACATGCTTTATTTTTGGAGATATTGGAAAGATCAAGGATTTCAGGGCGAAAGCGTAGGGTAGAACTCCAGTCACTTGAATAGATGTCGGCCACCAGCCCCCTCTCACCCCTACCATCTACACACGGACCTTTAAAATATAAGACTTTCATTACTAAGCTTCTTTTTTCAATCCAAATTCCAGTCTCATCTATTCATGCCCCCGTTTTCTTCATTTTCCTTTTAATCGCCAATCTAAAATTTAAAAAAAAATTATCTATTTGCATTATTTTATTATAAGGCTTTTGCACCATTTTATGACAAATCTCTTAACGGTTTTAGGAGATCGTTACACTGAAATACATAACCACTACAAAAATATACATAAGACAGGACGGTTAGCTGGCTATCATAAGTCCCTAGATATCGGTATTACCAACAACAGATATTCTGAAAACACCCACCTTCTTAGACATTAATGAATCGTAGAGAGATTATGTCCAACGTGGTTAATTTTAATGCTTCTCTTCCTCCTCCAGAAGTCGAAGGATTCTATATTTAAGTGACATAAAGACATACCATATAATGCATACACAAGTTACGATGGTAATGTTTAGGATATATCGCCTACATGCCGAACCGCCTTTGGGAATGTATTAATATTACTTGTATTTGTATACACCGCCAGACAACCAGAGCCATAGTTAGGAGCTATTTTTATCTATCTGGACTTATTTTTATAGTTAATGGGAAGAAATATTTGGGCAGCTATATATATAGGAGTTTATACCACACAAAGTGAGGCTCATAAGGAAAGACAGAATTGTCTAACGATGCGCCAAGTAGCTGTTACCTTCGCTGACTCGCCGGTGGAGGAGATCTCTCTGAGTTGGAACAGGTAGTCCGGAAAGAGTGATCATACCTTGTCGGTCATTTCTAAATGTTAGGGCCGCCTGCAAATTTCGTGAAAGTCGCGAGAGGTAAATTGGTTAGGGCACGTGATTGTTTAGATTATTGGTTAGGTTTAGCACTTGCCCTGTTTACATCTCGTGACCTTGACGAAATCTGCAGGTGGCCTTAATATTTAGACCTAACCCTTCCTTGCCCCATCCACGTCCCCTCTCAAGGCAATAGATTAGTTGATGCAATATACACTAGCACATGACAAAATAGTTTGCCTCTATCGAGTCGCCGTTGGCCAAGGTCTCTCTGAGCGGATAAGGTCTCTATGATATGGAACACTTTTCTGGACAGAGTAACTGTGCCTTGCCCCATCCATATTCTCTGTCACTCGCAGTGAATTTGTTTAATCAATATATGGAATTCGAACTGGTGCATGACAAATTAAGCGCATAAACAATAGTAAAGTTAATGCTACTTTATTATGGTTGATCAATATAAGGGAATTTACTTTTATAAAATAGCTACAATACAGGACCACCGAGTTCACATAAACTATTATCGATTTTTGTTTAAACTATAATCGATTTTTAGAACTATGATCGATTTTTATTTAAACTGAGATCGATTTTTAATTAAACAAATGTCGATTGCGAGAATGTGGCTCAGCTTCAACATAAGGGGAGACAGTGACAAAGTAAGTAATACAATAATGATTCCTAATAATTATAAAAGTTGTTTACACGTGTACGTACATGAATGAATGTAGCAATACACGTCGTCGGACATGGGAAGCGGTGCCATCAAATCGTTTACCACATCCGACGTCTGGTAGATGATCGTTTAAATTTGTCTCTGACGTATATTGGGGGTGTATGGCCGAATGGTTAGCACGTGCGCGCTGTATCAGGTCTGCCATTGAGTCAACTGGCGTGGTTTCGATTCCCCGTATGTACGTGACAAGGAATGGGGTCGCCTGTCCAACCTCGTGAGTTTTCCCCTGGTCCCCCCGTTTCCTCCCACTGCTAAAGACCCCTACGCACAAGCGAATTATTGAAATAAAATTGAACCATGCTTTAGTCCCGAAATGACCTAGTTAGTGACGAGTGGACGTTAAACCCCATTTCTCTTTCTCTCTCTCTCTCTCTCTGACGAATATTATTGTAATTCTCTTCGATTAAAATTCAGTTGTGTACGTATTTTTATCAGCAGCTAAAACTTTGTTTTTTATCACTCAGGAACAACAATACGAAGGTTCGTTTCTACAGTCTGTCTCAAAACAACACTAAACTCGCAGAGAGAGTTACTGATGGACCCTACTACATCATGGCTCCCCTACAAATCAATGGGGTCTTCTCAATCCGTCTCCTACAGAACCCAATGTGTATCTGATCTCTAAAGAATCTACATGATGTCTACTCTGACGCGCACGGATCTTATGTTTTATATGCCTAGACTTCTGCTATTAATTATTCAATTGGCCAAAAAAAATGTAATAAATTATGTGATTGGTCAATCACACCTAATGACGTAACGGTAGTTTTCTCTCACGAGTGTTTTGAACAATACACAAGTCAGCCTTGACTTTAGACCTCATGTATTTTGACAACGAATAAGACACATAACAGATGAGTTTATCAAATTAAAGTTCATGTCCGCTGGTGCAGTCATATCCAACTTGTTTATGTCCATGCCATAAAATTCTTATATTCGCCTAACGATATTATACATAATAGCATAAATCCCCCAATATTATCACACGAACAAATTTAGTTATTTTTAATATACGACAGAATAGAATAAAACGTTAATTATTCATCCTCCTAATTTACGCTCTGATTCATTTAGTATTAGGAAATTATTCATTTGTGTGGCATATTGAAGTTGTCCTTGTAATCGTTATTCAGATATGTGTATCTATGTTTATATGTTTGTTTTGTCTACTTATTATGAAAGTAGTGTGCGCCATTTCTAATGAACGCGCAAAATTAACTTATTCTTCTAAAGTTTTTAATCTATACTAATATTTGTGACTGTCGTTTGTCTGTCTGTCTGTCCGTCCGTCTGTTCGGAGTTGGCGGCTACACTAGTTCTGGCCCGAGCCTGAAATTCGGGGTATATGGGTAGCTCGGACCGGGGAGTA